CACCGGAAAACAACGATCTATTTTGAAACGAGTAAGGACAGGCAATATCCACAATGCTATATCAAAGTGAAAAACAATCTACAGATTCACGTGCCGATAGATCACTTGGCAAGGTACCGCTGCCGATGACAGTCCTAAATCATAAAGGGCTCGCCATTAAAAGGATTGAGGCCAGCGTGAGCACGCAAGAGAATCATAATACGACGAAATTTCTCATGGCCCCGGCGATAGATCGCATGGCACGCGTTACGACGATGGCCATAACGCTTGATAAACGAGTAAATCCTCGTGGCCTTCCATTTAAGCAAAGTGTTACGACAACTACGGCTGCCACGTTCGTCTTCTCCGTCGTTTCCGGGGCGAAAAACATGGTCGCCATCGTGGAAAACACGGCCGATGCATCCTGCGTGAGAAATTGTCATCCCGTTTCCTGACCGGCCGCTTCCTCCCTCCGCTCCGATCGAGCCGAGATTACGCGAGACGCACGTTGCCGACAGAGAAGATCGCGCGGCGATTAGAAGCACACCTTATTGCGAAATTATTCGGCCCACTTCCGGCCCGCTTCGTCGAAACGCGTCCGCGGGATTGTTAAGCAGACAAAAACCACTTGTTCCTCGGGGTCGAAGCACTCGTATATACGAAACACTTCTTCCAAAAAGCATTTTCTCGAGCGGAGAACTCGACGGCCGTTTCCGCGGAGGAAAAGACGTGGTCTCGCTGCTGGCCATGGCCGATGTAAGAGGTTAAAGAACTCGAGCGTTCGTCTTCATTTTTATAATTCCCGAAGCGACCATTGTTGGCTTGGCTCCGACTTAATACTTGCGAGGTATCAAAAAGTAGATCAGATATAGTTAGATTTACTAACATCTAATACCAATTCTAATTCGTCGGTAATTCGGAGCGACAACAGAAACACGAGGATTATTTCAAGAAGTAATTTTAAATCAAAAAGAGCTTGTATCTTTTTATTCAATTAATAAAATTCAAAAATATTAGAAGGTAAAAGAGTATATCTTTTAGTGAACTTCGCTGAGCGAGTCAATTCATAACTTATATGTACACTATGTAAAAATCAACGTTTAAGGATGAAGTTGAACCGACTATGGACAACATCAAATCGAACGAAGATGCACAATAGTGAAATCCTCTTAGCGGATCAATCGAAAAAGAAAGAATTATACTGGCTCGAAGGACAGGACACACTATGACCGAACATCTAATTAAGAAGACTGACCCTCCCTTCTACGATAGACGTGAAAAATCTGTCACAGTCCAACACATTCTACGTGAACGCACAAACTTCGACAGAGAAGATTCTATCTTTGTCTAGACTTCCTAAAATCAATTTGAAGAGAACACTTGATGGACGCAGATCTATACCATAAGATATGAGTACCTAGTCGCTAACGATCTCGATGTGCTTTAAACCTACATCAAAAAAAAAAAAAAAAAAAATATCCCAGCATCTCTGCCAACGAATCAACAATCGCGTAACATGTTGTCGGTGTCGCGAAGGATTCGTTGCACGTGAATTTGGCGGAGGATCGCGTGACCGCGTGTGGCCGTGTGGAGGTGAAGCAGAATCGCGGTAACGAGATTACGCGATGCGCGCAAGTGCGGTAAGAGTTGGTTGCGTTCCAGTTTCTATACAGAGGCCGGTTCGTCGCTTCGTTTCCTTGGAGCGAAACGGGTGAGTCATCGAGTTCGTTTCCTGCTGTTGGTAGGTGGTTGGTAGGTCCGTCATAGCGCTAGCGTCCGAGGAGGACGAAATTGCGCTTCGTGGGACGGGGAGGAGGACGGGTTGGGAAAGAAGGGTCTCCCTTGGGTTCGGACCTGTCGTGTTTCTGGGCCTTGAAAAACCGCCGGGATCGGACGGTTGCCAAGCACGAACCTGTTCTTTCGAAAAATCACGTGATTCATCTCGGTTCTGACTAATCTGCCTGATATTTCGCTGAATCCCTTCGATGCCTTTCGCCTTCGATGAGTCAATGGTCGCAAACACAAACAATGCGACCTGGTGCCGCTACCTCGGTACTCGTGCTCCACACGTACCGTGCATTCACGGTGTTTGCATAGATTGCCACCTGTGTTTGATCCGCGATAACGGATGAAAACGATAATCCCAATTGGTAGCAGGGTAAATGTTCTCATCGAGCGTTACGTAAGAAGATCGATGATCAATTCTACATTGTCTGCCCTTCAATTTTAGAGCAACGCACCGTTAAAAATTGAAAACATCCTGACGACCAAATCGTCCTTTTTGGGACAAATTGAATACCTGTTGGATAGGGTTTGATCGCTTTTTTTTTTCCACTCGTGTACTATTACGTATTTTTTTGTAAACTCATCAGGACACACCTCTTTGTATTTCATCTCTTTTTCTGCGTGGTAGGACCATTAGTCAGAATAAATATCGGTGAAAAGTGAAACAGGTAAAGTGAAATGAACTTCGTCCGACAAATGTCGTTAGTCATCGTCGAGAAGCCAACAAAAACCTCAGGTGTCAACAGGTATGACCAAGCACTCGATGAAGAGCAAACACTTGGTAATCATTGTTGCTGCAATTCATTTGTCCAAAAGGAGTTACCCGATGCTCAGCCGGAAGGAAGAAATACGTACTCGCGTCGAGTGGTACTAGTTGCTAATCACACGCAGTAGGGGAATTCCTCGATGATGGCATCACCACCCCCTGATTGCGATTTTTTTTCCCTGGCCTGATAGCGAGCGGCGCGCGCCGCTGGTGATCGAGGGATTCTGTTTGGTTTCTTGGTGAAGATCGCTCGAGTCATCGGGCTGGTATCTGCCAATGGTGGTGGAGGCGGCCGCCAGGTTACACCAGGATTGGCCAAGCAAAATGTAGAGAGCCTCCGAGCTGCGTGCTCCGATTGGTGGAAAACAAGCGGAGCCACGTGTCCCGAACCCCTCCGTCACGGCCGATAAATCTTGTCGAGATTAAGCTAGCCACCGACTCGGCCGACAATTTCAAAATTAGTCTTCGAGCGGACGCTTTCCTCGAACCATCGTGTACTCCGATCGATCTCACAGAGATTCCAACCTGTTGATAGTCGAGACAGTGTTCGACAGTGTCTTTTTTTTTTTTCCGAAAATAATAATAATCCGACTGTAGGCCCGAACATTTGCTGAATATTCAACGCTTCGGTGAGTTGTTTGTTACTATTTTTTGTTATTCAAAAACTGCCGCTTCTCTCTTATCGATCGCACGCGATAAAAGTTCACGCGACATGCATCGGTGAAAAATAATAACGTCTTTGTTCCATCGGGCCTCGTGCAGCGCTTCTAACACAGATTGCTTAAGAAATTCCACAAAGGGGATGTGTTCCTTGTAATTAAACGGGTCTTGCATATTTCTTTGTCATTGCCTTCAACTCGCGTTGAAGGACGTGTAAGAAACGCATTATCGCGCGGTGAAACAGCAACGTACGTAAATGCATAAATACGTAGTTTACATTCGTAGGAGTGTTCCGTGTTAGAAGATGGCCACGCTGTTCTAAAGACAGCCTCTAAAGAAAATTCCGTCTGTGTTATCGACCGTTAGACCGAGGGGCATGCTAGACTGAATGTCTGACATATGTAAGACAGAGTTTCGTAGACAAGGTCGAGGCGAGGAAATTGTTATCTGTCTGACGCGCGGTGCTGCCCTGGGGGAAGACGCACGATTATCGACGTCGTTGCAACATTACGCGATCCGTGCATGCAACGTTCAATACGTATGCTTTTATCTAAAGCAGATACCGTTTTATTAGCATGCAAGGGCAGGTTTCTGGGCCTGCGAGGTTATCGTTAAAGGCCGGCATGTCTCACGATTAGCCCGGCTGATGATACTCTTTTTGTTCTAAACGAACTATATTCCCGTCTATCGAACCTTGATGATACCTCACGCAGACTGGTTATCTACGATTTCCGCGCATCTACCTGCATATTACGCCCTCGCAGCTGGAAATGCATGTCCATGCACCTGCGAGCGCGCTAGGCTTACTCACAATGCGCATTCGTTTGCTCTCGTTCGAACCTCCTTCGCCTTTTCCTCTTTTGCTTGCCGATTTTTGCTTCGTTTCTCAGTTTCTTTGCCCACTCTCTCTCTCTCTCCCGTATCTGCGCGTGGCAGATATTTTCGACGTAACTGTCGAGAATCGTTTCGTCACGATTTCCGTTCGCGGAAATTTGGAAATTTTCAAAACAACGTGTGACGTAAATTTCCGTTTCGTTGAACACTGCGGCGTAATTCAACGAATACGATAACCGCACCGTGAAGTAGAAAGTGATTATGACGAAGTTTCTCGAAAGGTTATAAGGTCCATTAAAGTCATTCCATTGATAACTCGTTCGTTCGAAAATAATCGGCATGTTCAAACTGATTGATTCTATTAAAAATCCAAGCAGTGTAAATATTTATGCAATGTTTATTCTTTCTTCCATAGCAATATTTTCCTTCTCCAAAAAAAAAAAAAAAAAAAATCAAATACAACTATATTTCAACTTCTGATTCTCAACTCTTTATCAATATTAGTATAGAGTCGAATGAAGCTCGGTTATCTGAAAGTCTAAGGAAAAGCTTGTCCAACAAGTCTAGAC